GCCACGCCTCGCGGCCAGTCGCCTCTAGACCAATCCAACGCTCTAGCCACGCCTCACATCCAATCTGATGCCCGAGTCGCATCTCGGCCGATCCAATGCCCGAGCCACACCTCGCGGCCAGCCTAATGCCCAAGTCGCATCTCGACCAATCCAACGCCCGAGCCACGGCTCGCGGCCAGCCCAACGCCCGAGCCACGCCTTGCAGCCAGTCTAATGCCCGAGTCGCATCTCGGCCAGTACAACGCCCATGCCATGTCCCGCAGCCAATCTAATGCTCGAGTCGCATCTCGGCCAATCAAACGCTCGAGCCACGCCTCGCAGCCAACCTAACACCCGAGTCGCATCTCGACCAATCCAATGCCCGAGCCACGCCTCGTGGCCAATCGCCTCTCGGCCAGTGCAACACTCGAGCCACACCTCGCCGGCCTAATCCGTTGCCCACGTCGTCCAGTTCGATCTTCGACTTATAACTCACCGGCCCCAACTCCGAGCCGCGCCAAATCGGTTATCCGACGTACGACATGTCGGTCTCATCTCACCTGTTCCCAGTCGCCCAATCCATAGAGTCGACCTTTCCCAGGGAACGGGACGCCGCCCCTCCAAACTGCCTCGTGACGAGCCAATCCAGCTTTCCATCGCAAGCAATCAACACAATCGCAGCATTCCGACCTACGCATGCCTCTCGCCCCTCGGGGCGATGCCATCGACAGTGGGCGCACTGGTGCCCTCTTGGAAAGGTCACAGTCGGACGACCCGGCTATCCTCTTCCCCCTCGTGCTCCACGAATCCTCGCGTTGGGGAGCAGCCCAGGACAATCCCAAAGCGACGCTCGCGCGAGCAGCCAGGCCCACAGGCAGGCGTCTTGCAGGCCAAGGTTTTCGTCTTCTTTGGAGGGCGACCCGCTGCCGGAGACCCTGACGCCCTCTTTGGTGTGCCCTCCTATGGGGCACCCCCAGCTACGGAACCCTCCCTGTCCCGAGGCGGTGGCATTACAGCCTTGACGCTAGGCATTTTCTTCACCGATCGAAGATCCACCATTTCTGCAATAATATTGATCGGTCAGATAGGTCGGGAAGAGCGAACGATCCATCATATGTGAACGACCATACTCCAAGAGGCAAGGCTCAGCTCTGATTTGACCAGCCACTCCTCGACCACTCCTCAACCGATCCACGTTCGTTGTTTCTCCGATAGAAAGCAACGGGGACTTATTATCAATGGTCCGGAGGGTCCACCTAGTGCTAAAACCCTACTCCCGACTACAACTGACGAAGAAAAAGCGACTCTTCCAACCTTTGTTGTTGGAAGGAGCACCACTGATCTTAAAGCCGCTGCGGGCGATCAGGTAATACACGCCTCCCCCTTTACAAAGGCGGAAGCAGGTCAGGAAGAGGGTCCTAGAAGGCTCGATCCCAGCACCTCGACACTCCCAAATAAAGGCCACCAGATAGCGCCAAGAGTTTGGTGACACCTAAGAGGGCGATACTCCCCAGTGATGAAGGCACTCCCAGATGGCAGGGAGCAGCCTGGCCCACAGGCAGGCGTCTTCCGAGCCAAGGTTTTCGTCTTCTTTGGAGGGTGACCCACAGCCGGAGACCCCGACGCCCTCTTTGGTGTGCCCTCCTATGGGGCACCCCCAGCTTCGGAACCCTCCCCGTCCCCAGGCGGTGGTAGAGCAACCTTTACGCTAGGCATTTTCTTCACTGATCGAAGATCCACCATTTCTGCAATAATATCGATCGGTTAGATAGGTTGGGACGAGCGAACGATCCATCATATGCGAACGGCCATACTCCCAGAGGCAGGGCTCAGCTCTGCTTTGACCAGCCACTCCTCGGTCATCTCCTTAATTGCTCGAGAAGAGGACAAGATACCCTCAGCCGATCCACGTTCGTTGTTTCTTCGACAAAAAACAACGGGGAGGTATTATCAATGGTCCGGAGGGTCCACCTAGTGCTAAAACCCCACTCCCGTCTACAAATAACGAAGAAAAAACGACTCTTCCAACCTTTGTTGTTGGAAGGAGCACCATTGATCTTAAAACCACTGTGGGCGATCAGGTAATACACGCCTCCCCCCATACAAAGGCGGAAGCAGGTCAAGAAGAGGGTCCTGGACGGCTCGATCCCAGCCCCTCGACACTCCTCAATAAAGGCCACCAGATAGCGCCAAGAGTTTGGCGACACCTAGGAGGGCGATACTCCCCAGTGACGAAGGCACTCCCCGATGGCAGGGTGCAGCGGGAGCCGCAACCCCGCCTCTAGGGCACCTACGGTCAACCCGAACCCATCGGGGAAATGATCGTACGACCGCTACCGAGGCCGAGGTGTGTGAAGGCCATAACACTCCGGGATGCGATAACGATCCCGGAGTACCCTCAAAAGGTCCTCGGTTACCATCGAGTCCACATTGTGCCACGACTTGAGAGCTTCAAGCGCGACAGATCCCCAGAGGCCTCCGAGGAAGCGCTACCGAAGGATACACTGACAACTTTTCTCGCGAGCCCCCGGAGGAAGAAGATGACAAGGATAAAGGCAAAGATGACGACGGAGACATCCCGACCTCAAGGTTGCAAGAAAGAAGCCGAGGCGCGGGACGAAGAACTGAAGCATAGGTGATAGCAACCGTTCTGGAAGGGACTTATAAAAGGAAGGCTACACCGCCACGAGACGCCGGTTGGGCTTCCCGAGGAAAGAGGTAGTCGCAGCATTTAAGACCCATCATATCCCCTCGGATCCGCCAGATTCGCCAGCCTCGGAGCTCCCGCCAAAGGCATCTTATCACTTGAAATCCCCCGCAGAAGGCCATTCGAAACAAAAAGTTTCCTGCCAGGTCCCGCGTTACTCCACCTGGCTCGCCACGTGGCACAACGGTGCTCGGGCAAAACCCGGCACACCGTCCAGTGACGCCACCTAACCTCCATCTCCCGCCCGGGTCGCTTCGAATCAGTAACCGACTTGCGACCAGTCGACACCAAAACCTGAGCTTGAGCTTAGTCACTTGGCCCACAGGTTCGGCTCCTGCCCGGGTCGCTCAGGATCAGTTCTCGACTTGCGACCCGTCGGCACCAAAACCTGAGCCCGAGTTTAATCACTCGACCCACAAGTTCAATTCTCGACTTGCGACTCGTCGGCACCAAAACCTGAGCCCGAGCTTAGTCACTCGGCCCACAGGTTCAGCTCATGCCCGGGTCGCTCCGGATCAGTTCCGACTTACGACCCGTCGATGCCAAAACCAGAGCCCGATTTTAGTCACTCGGCCCCAAGGTTCAGCTCCTGCCCGGGTCGCCCCAGATCGGTTCCCGACTTGCGACCCGTCGGCACAAAAACCTGAATTCAGCCAGTAACATGTGCATACTGACTCGGCTGCGCAAGGGAATGAGAGCAAACAGAATATGCTATGCACTAATCCCACTACACAGGCCAGCATGAGAACGTTCAGCATGTACCATCAAAAAATTTGTGCCAAAAGCCAAGCAACAGTGGGCTGCAAGTTGATATCTAAACAGGGATTCTCCATATATGGGATCTCACCTTGAGCTTAGCTCTGCAAAACTCTCAAGCGGGGGAGGAACACCATGTCCTGAAATGTGAATTCCATGCTTCTTACGCAGAACAGAAGCTTTCTGAAGCAGGAATTAAAAATTTTAAGGTATGGAAACAAAAATGAATCATTGAACAAAAAATACCAAAACTAAACCAAAACCACCTCAATCTCTTTTTCCACGTCCTTTTTCATCTCAGCAGAAGTTGCCTCCAAAGCATTTCTTTCTAGAATAGAGGACACAGACTCGGAATTCTTGAACACACTGAACCCCTCCACAGCATCTGATACACCAAATCCCAAATAAGATTACGACAAGTGAACAAAGATCGCATCACACAAAAGGTGCGTGTAGGTAAGCCAAAGATGCAACCACAAGAGTCCTTATCCTTGCGCTTCCGCTTCTTCCCCTTCTTGTTCGCCTTAACATCCGGCAAGGCTTCCGGCGCTGAATCAGCCATGCACTCAACATCTTCCAGTTCTTTCTTCGGCTGCTGCGAGAAAGAACAAAGATTCAAGGATTAAAGTCAATATAAAACAGGGAATTGGGACCCAGACCAGCAAAAAATCGGTTGTCAAGGTTGCCTGGAATCGGGCAATCTCCAGGGCGAAACGCTTTCGGTCGACGCGGACGCCAGAGAAGAGCAGCGCCGACGCCTTCTCCATGAGCGTTTACGCCGTCTCGATCTTGCTCGTCGCCACGGAGGAACCTCGGCAAAACCCTAGCGGACTGCGCCGACAATCAAATAAAAAGCGCTGATGTATATTTACCTGCACAAACCTCACTTCTAACATATTTATACTTCGAAACTTGACAGGCAGAATTCAAATTCATTCCCAATATGATTAAAGTATATTTTAGAAACAAAATCTACACATTATCATTACAATTGATAGGTCTTTGGTATATGATTATGATTAGCATTACTACAATTATCATTACAATTGATAGTGTTTAGGGTTTAGGGTTTAGGGTTTAGGGTTTAGGGTTTAGGGTTT